TGCTTCCATAATGCTTGAGGTATTTGCACCAGCGTTCTGTAACAGTGTCCAGGAAAATGAAGCATTTCATCTTGCAGGGAAGCTCCTTCAGTAGGAAGGTAGACAACTCAAAAGAGCTCAAGAAGTCCCTGAAACTGATCAGATTCACTAAGTCCCTATCTGTCAGAGTAAGCAGTGAAAGCAAGACCAGCTGCCTGGAAGAAGCAGAAGCCAGCTGAGCTAAGTGTAAGAGGGTTAGCCCAACTGAGGCTCCTGGAAAGGACACTCTCCAACATCCATCCATCCATCCATCCATCCATCCATCCATCCATCCATCCATCCATCCAATGTATGAGGAGGAAGCGTATGACACTATGCATATATGAAGGTCAGGGGACAATTTGATTCTCTCTTTCCAACATGACTAAGGTTGTCAGGCTTGCTGGTGAGTGCCTTCATCTGATGAGCCCTCTAGCTGGCTTTCATAATATTGTAAAGCTTTCAATTCTTCTTCCCCCGTGTATTTCAGCTGTTTCTTTCTGGTATTCCTGTTTGATTCTGGGCCTCCAGTAAGCACATTTAACCTCCCTGTTGACTGGCTTATCTTGTCTCTTCCTGACACTCCCTCTCCTCCCCCTCTCTGTTTAATAGTCTTTGTTACCAGAAGATACAGAAAGAGACAGGGTGCTCGGACAGGAAGGGGAGAGGGGAGAGCAGAAAGAGGGGAGCCACAGGCTAAAGCAGAGGGAGTCTGTTGGCCAGCCGTGGTGTCTGGAGACAGGGAGCCTGGCCCTGTGGTAGAGCTCGGTTTGTCAGGCAGAGCGGGAAAGGCAGAAGTGAGTCAGGTTGCAGGATTCACGATGGGACATGACACTGGTGTCAAGGCTGAAGCAGAGACCAGTGCTTTCTCTCCTTGGTGGTTGACATGGACAGATAAAACAAGTCTTTGATCCCAGGACTCAGGAGGGAGGCTGAGGAAGGAGGATTGCCAAGAGTTTGTGGTCAGCCAGCCTGGGCTGAAGAGTGAGATTATGTCTCAAAAAACTTAAGGGGAAGCGGGGGGGGGGGGGGG